TTGAAACATGAAGGTAGGGTGTCAGATCTATTTAAAGATCATTTTCCCACTGCACTGATGTGGGGATGGATCGGAATACCCCTCAACAGGCATGAAATTTGCAGTGCATGTAACAAGGCTACCACCCACTGAGCAAAGAATGAATACAACCTGAAGGAGTTAATCTTAAACCCACCACTTGATTGTTTATGATTTCCCATCTGTCAAAATGTGATATCAGCAAAGGAATGCAAATAGTAGAAAAATTATACTAAGCTACATTTATTGACCAATGATTTACATGTAACAACAGGTTGTTTGATTTATTTTTAAGTTTCAACACTGTGCAACTCTCAAAGGACTTGCATACTGACAGTAGCAAGGAACAAATCATGTACTTTTTACGTAGTTTTTTCTAGGTATATCAATTATTGACTAATGTATATTAATTAAGAATTATTTTACTTTTTGGTTTTAACATTGTGCTATTCAAAACATACTAGCACCATATCTAACATAATGAGGCTTACTGGACACTGCTGTGCTGAACCAAAAATAAACACGTACTAATAGCCTCCCAACATTTGTAGAGCTGGTTGGGTGGATTAAACAAAATATAAACTTAATGAACATTCTTTGAACATGCAAAATGTATAGAAATATTGCATTTTAATTTTTTCATTCTTGCTGACAAATATCCTTCATGATTACAAGTGCCTCCCCAAGTCCACTAATTCTGGTAAGAGACTGTTTTAAAGACAATCTCCCCTGCATTTCACACACTGACTGGAGGATTCCAGCCACTGCTCAACACAGAGTCGGCATCCTATCAGACTTCTGCAACAGCTTGATGCCATTGGGTCCTCCATTATGTCTGTCATAATTAAAATAACATTATGAATGTAGCGTTGGCCAGATTGACCAATTTCTGTTTGCAACAGTAGAGTAGAAATACCTTTCACAGTCAAAAAAACACTTTTTTTGTGATTGCAGAATATTTAAAAACCTGTTGGTGAACCTAGATATGACATGGCAAAATAGTCTTGCATTATTCTGACCAAAATAACAGAAACATCTGAAGCATCCAAAATAAGCACAAAAAGGCTTTTTGGCTATATCTGTAATTTGTAAATTGCAGTATATATTCTGTGATTTCAATACTATGAAGGATACAATTAAAATGAAATACTGTGTGAGAATATTACCTTTGCAAATAGCACAAGAAAAGGCATCCCTCATGGCTAATATCTGCTGCCTGGTTAAAGCACTCTTCAGCCCTGCCAGCTCCTTCAGGCCGGCCACCACCAATGGAAGGCCCTCAGCTGCTAGTACTACCTCTTCTATTTTTTCATGAACCTCAGTCAGTTCATCATTTTCCTGTTGGCTATACAGATCATACAATAAACATTATACAAATTACATATTGCACAAATTATTACTAACTTGATACTTAGCTAAATAAGATTGTCACAATAATAGTGTAACTCTAATAATCAGGTCAGGTCAGATTGGGGAACATGTGCATTGCTGCGCCCACCACACAATGAAACTTCAGAATCCTGACTGGCGACCAGCCCCAGGCCAACACGTGGTCCAGGCCCACCCTCCAGAAATGCCCATCTATTTGCCGCAGTGTTACTTGAATGTCCCCTCGGCCTTGCCCAACTGCTCAGGTCCTCAGCAATGAGGATCCTGTGGGCTGGATCACCCTCAGGGAATCACGCCACATGGCCATAGTGCTGCCATATCTGATGCTCCTTCACAATGTAGGTAATGTGCCTCATTTGGGACTCCCTGAGCAACTGCTCATTTGACACAAAATCAAAGCAGCGGTACCCAAGGATTCTCTGAAGACACACAGTACCAAAAGGAGTCCAGTCTTCGTCTCATGTCACTGGATAGCTTCCATGTTTTGCAGCCATATAGCAAAACAAGGAGCACCAGGACTCTAAAGACTTGGATGCTTGTCCTCTTGCAAAGATACTGGGAGCACCACACACCCCTTTCTAGTGACCTCATGACCATCCATGCTCTCCCAATCCATCTACGGACTTCACCAGAGACAGAAATGTTGCTGCCGAGGCAAGTGAACCTCTTGACGCCATTGACATTCTCTCTGCAGACAGACACACTGCTGACAGATCAAGGTCATTAAAGACCTAGATCTTAGTTTTGATCGAGGACACTTGCAATCTCAGACTCCACATTCAGTCTCTCAAAGCCCAGACCAGAACCTGTATTGACTCTGTGAAGGTCACAGAATCCTCTCCATAGCCAAGATTAGTAAATGTTTCCTCACAAACATGCCCCAGAGCAGCTGGTCCCCACAACCCTGCCCAACACCCAGTCCATGCAAGGAGTGACATCGGACACCATCGGGCAAAGCCAATCTGCCACAGTTATTCCCTGAGTATGGCAGCCATCAGAGTGACCAGGCTAACAACAGGTGTACCCACCTACAGAGATCTGGTCACTCTCCGGTCTGCACACTTCAGGGAGTGCTGCCCCCTGATATGCGGCATTTACAAAACCCCTCCAACAGCAGAGGAATATAGTCATCATGTT